GGTGTTGTGCCTGCAGTGGCTTCCTGTCTGTTTGTTGCTGATCCCAGGCTTGGTCTCACTTGTGCTTTCTTCCTGCCTTTCCCATTTTATACAAGATGGATGACCTACAAGAAGAGGACTCTGGGCTTCCTTTCTCCCTATCTGCTGCCACCCCACCCACCCATCCCATTTTTCTTGAATGAGTGCCCATTTTCTTATGGCCTGTCTGTAGGGATACAAACCAAATACCCAGAATGATATCTCTTTGAATAGCAGACCACCTTTTCTTCCTTCTTCTCCTCCTTCATGAATGAGAAAAGTCTCTGATTTCCAATCCAATGCCCACCTTATGGGGAATGGAGACTGGGAGTATTGTATCTCTCCACATATTCTCAGAACATTGTCATTGACATTATTATAAACTGTGTCATCCATTACAAGGGACAATCAGGCTGTTTGGGGAAAAGGGCTGGCAGCATCATCTTAAATCTTGCCATGAGCACCCAGGTGTAATAAGTTCAGGGAACCCATCTTTCATGACTGGCCCTCTAGTACTTTAATAGGTGTTATTTCCCCACAATTGGATTTTGTGTGTTAAGATATTTGGGGGCCGATAGTGCTTTGGAACTCAGTGCATGGGTGTACCTGAAGGTAAAACAAAAACAGACACTAGGTTAGTTGGGTAACACAGGTGCAGAGCTAATACCGGGAAAATAATTGACTTTGTTGGATTCATTCAGGTAACAAAAGGCCTCTTTTTAGCAACAAAGGCTACTTCAGAGATGCTGAAGATAACAGGTACTAGTGGCTGTTTCCAAATGTCCCCTTCCTCCGAGGAAAGCAGTGGACTTTGGAGAAAAAGGAAAAGGTCTAAGCTCAACATGTGAAGAGTTTCTAACCACATCATCCTCACCTGCAGTATACTCTTTTGCCCTCTTCATTCTGTTTCTTTTTTCACATAGCCTGCCCTCCCCACCCTTCTCAACCTGCTTAGCCTGCTCCTTTAGCCACAGGCTATTTTCTGCTGTTGTTGCTGCCAACTGGGCTGGTGGGAAGCCAGGCCTGGAGGAAACAGAGGGTCCTGGCAGAAGCATGGACTCAGGGCCCCACGGGTCAACTCCGGACTGCTCTAGGCAACTGTGCTTCTTTCTTAGGTAGCTCTGACTGCTGTAACAAGAAAACATAGAAAGGGTAGCTTAAACAATAAATATGTATTTCCCACAGCTCTGGAGGCTGGGAAATCTGAGACCAAGGAACCAATATGACCAGGCTTTGATGAAGGCTCTCCTCCTGATTTTCTCATGTGGAAGCAGGGTCGGGAAGAAAGTCAGGTCTTTTCCTTTTCTTTCCTATAAGGACACTAATCCCACCATGAGGACTCTACCTTTATGACCTAATTACTTCCTATTGCTCCATCTCCAAATACCATTCCATTGAAGAATAGAGTTTCATTATGAATTTTACCCTGTCACAAACTTTCAGTTCATAACACCTCCATTAAAAATCCTGTGAGATTAGAGGCCACTGTGAGATCCCTAGGAACCTGGTTAGCAAAATGTGGTACCTATTGTTATGTGGACACAGTGTAGAAAGGTGTCAAGAATGGAGAAAGGGCCACAAAATCCTTTAAAGCCAGATTCAAAGAAGCTTTCTCAGAACTTTCTGAAAACTCCTGGCCTTTTGATTGCTTGGATCAAATAGAAAAGAAGAAAGCAGACATTGCCTTCCAATTGTACTGTGTAACAAACTGCAGAACAGATAAAGCCTGCAGAGTGCTTATACTTCGAGATGCAAGAGATCTAGCAGAATTGATGTTTTGGAACAGAAGCCTGTGCAAGGTCTGTCTGGCATTGCAGCAAACTTGGGAGCCTCCCAGGATTGGCTTGTGCTGTCCTGGGTTGCTCATCCTCTTCCACCAGCCACCTCTTGCCCTTTCCTGGTCGAAACAGGATGTATGCCTTGGGAGCCCTGGCTTTCACTTACAACCAGAGGAAAGTTGTAAGTTGTGAGCTTGTTCTTTAGAAGGGCAGCTTGTGTACTGACTTCTTCACCTTGCCCTCTCTCTCCCCAGGCTTTTGGGTTCCAGGCTGACGATATGATAATTGGGTCTGCCTTTGAGTTGATTTCTACTGCTAGAAACTGGATTATAGCTGGAGCTGCCGAACAGGTAAGGAAAATTCACTGCCAAGGTTTTCCTCAAGGAACTAGGGAAACAGATGCTGGGGTGTGGGGAAAGGTGAGCCCAAGGTAGTAGAGTTGCTTAATGTTAGGCCTAGACCCTCAGGGACTGCAGCCAGTGAGCCTGATGGAATGGAGCTGTAGAAAGGAAACCCGAGGGGTTGGGAAACCAGCTGATGTGAGCACATTCAGAGCTTGATGCCACCTGTTGGATAGTTTTTTGGTGCCCTGGTAGGTGGTGATGAATGGACACTAGTCTTATAGGGCTATTAGCTTTATGGCTACAAGTAGCCAGGAGTATGCACCTTCTCCGTGTCTTGCTTCCCAGTTTCCAGGAACAGCTCTGTGGGCACATGTGTCTGCTCATGTCCTGGGGACCTTGTCAGGCTTCCTGGCTTGTGAGGGGACCACCAGAATGTCCCCAGCAGGGGCTGGGTGATTCACCTGTTGGAAAATCAATGGAGAGAATGTGGTACAGGCTTGGAATAGAGTCTTTGGAGTAGAATTTATGGGAGTGAAACCCAGGGTAGTGGAGACAGTGTAATGAGTTTCCCACTCCGCCCCCAACTGCTTATTTGTGATGAACACAGACTTGGGGGAGACTGGCTACTAGTGGTTTAGGAAGGATGCAGGTCACCACAGCAAAGCTGGGGGCAGGGAGTGCATGCAAGGCAACTGCTTGCTATCCTCACCAACTGGGGAGCTCAGCTCATGGACTGAAGTGCTGTTGTAGTCTCAGTTCCACTGTTCACATTTTGCAGCTCTTTTTCGTAATCCACATCCATGTTCAACTTCTTACACGTTTTAGAAGTTTAATGGCATCCACTGTACTTGCTTATGTGCACCTTTGGGTATTAACTCAGTCTTAAGGGCACGCCTATATGCATCCCACCCCACCTCCCAACTATAGAAAGGAGTTAAAAATTAAGATCTGGTTTGCCAAATGCAATCACTGCCCACAACAGCTGGTCTTGTCTACTCTTAGTGGTTCCCCCTTTCACATCCCTTCCTAAGCCCTCTGACCACAGAAGAGTGCAAGTTACCATCCTCCTGACTGACACAGGAGCAGATGTCTTGGCTTTCCTTAGACAAGGATTTGATCCCCAACTTGGCTCTTGCAGGGGGACCTGTTTCAGTGCAGGTGGAGGAAAGGAGAAAAGACAATGGGCTGAATCTCAGCTCCAGAAACCAGATCCCAGAATCATCTTACCCTCCACCTCTTTAGAAAAGGGGCTAAGAGAAGCAACAGGATTTGCTTTGGAAAATCTTTGTTACTTTAGGCATGGGCACTAGGCTGTGTGACACACCGTGGAACTTTACTAATGGCACTCAGTGTGGCTTAACCCTAACAGTTTTGTTACAGACCAAGGGCATCAACTTCAGAAGGCATAGGGCCCTACAGCAACAGCCTAACCTCATGCACCCTGGAAAGAGGTGACTTTATAGGCATGGACTGTTCTGATGGACTTCACAGTGGCTTTCTTATGTTTTCCAATTGACTCTGCTTTACAGCTTCCTTGATGTTAAGTACTTTGTCAGTGGAAGATTTCCAATCCTGAAAAAAAATCTACATGCGTTTTATATGCTTTTCATTATTGAGATAGGAAATCTTAAATGGATACTACTCAATAATGGATAAGGCCATGTCTTTGCATCAACTTTGGCTTATGTGAATTGAACTTATCAGTCGATATCACTGGCTTTTCATTAAAATGACCAATGAATTATGTGTCATAGCTTAGTTTAAAGCTTCAGATATGTTTTCAGACGGAAATATTCCAAGAATGCAAGTCAGGTATATTTCTCAGATAAATAACAGTCAGGGCATTGCATACAGGGAAATTCTCAGTTCTCAGGTTTCCTGAGGTTGAAATCCAGCGTGAGCGTCATTAATCATTCATTGGGGTCGGTCCTTCAGTCAATGGCAGATCTGAGTAAGCTGAAGTAAGTTGTTAGCTAATCCTTCCTGCCATGGAGATCCTGGGGCGAGAAAGGACAACTGGGCAGTCAGTCACATGTGCTAGTGTCCAGACTCAGTTCCCTTTGCCTGGTTCTGAGCATGGGTGTCCGTGTGTTTGTGCGCTCACCTGCTGAAATACAGACCATGATCTTCCCAGAAGAAAAAACAAATTAGGCATAACAGGAAAGCAGTTCGAGTCGTGGCATAATAATTCAGGGTGGCTTTCTAGACTCTAAATAAATCCGTTCCTTAGCTCTTTAATAATCAGCAACAAAACCAGCCTTCTCTCCCAACAGCGTCACACCAAAGCCTCCCCAAGTTGGGCTACGATCAATGTTGGGTTCCCTCCGAAAGCACTTGAAAAAGTCCGAGGGCGCCCAGGGCAAGAGGATGAGCTGGTTGGGGTCGGCCAGCAAAGAGAGGAGCCTGAAAAGGCATTGGGTACTAGATAGGCAAGAGTGCGTTACTGGGACAAGAGTGAGTGAGAGAGGTGGGAGAAGACCCCATTTCCACGATTCGATGCCGGGTTTCCGGCGGTGTCCCTGAGGGACTCAACTGCTTGTGCGGAGCTGAATTCCGTACAGCTTTAGCTCTGGTGGTGGTGGCGGTGGGGGGTTGCGGGGGGGAGATGGCCGTGTGGCGCGTGAGAACTGCTGGGGTGCGTGGCCCTTGTATGGGCACACCCAGCGTCCGGGGTGCAGCTTCTCTCAGCCGGCACCTCCTCCCACTCACTCTCTCCCATCTCCTCCCTCCTCACACCCCCCGCCCCCGAGACCGAGAGGCTCCCTCCCCGCACCGGCCAGTGAGTACACAAAGCGGCGGGTGAGGGGAAGCTTCGCAGGCGTGCACGGAGCAGTGAGATCACTGGCGTTATAAATATCCCGGTGCCAGCGCTGAGATCCGCTCTGGTGGCCTCTCTCTCTCTCCCCCTCTCCCTCTCTCTTCCCCGAGGCTATGTCCACCCAGTGCGGCGAGGGGGGCAACGCCAGAGGCACGCAGCCGCACGGGGGCTACAGAGCCCAGAACCAGCCCTACAAGATGCACTTAGGACCCCCGCGGCTGGAAGAATGAGCTTGTCTTTCCCCTTCCTCCTCTTCCTCAGCCACCTGATCCTCAGCGCCTGGGCTCACGGGGAGAAGCGTCTGGCCCCCAAAGGGCAACTCGGACCCGCTGCCACTGACAGGAACCCGGGAGACTCTAGCAGCAGCAGGAGTAGTAGTAGCACGACGTCTTCCTCGTCTTCTTCTGCCTCCTCCTCCCCCGCAGCTTCTCCCAGCAGCCAAGGAAGCGGCTTGGAGCAGAGCAGTTTCCAGTGGAGTCCCTCGGGGCGCCGGACCGGCAGCCTCTACTGCAGAGTGGGCATCGGTTTCCATCTGCAGATCTACCCGGATGGCAAAGTCAATGGCTCCCACGAAGCCAATATGTTAAGTAAGTTGCTTGCTCTTGGCTGGCTGCGGAGATTTGGGAGGGACAGCCGGTATGCCTTGGGCCACAGGCACACCTTCTGGAGCCCCAGCCTCTAGGACGCAGCGGGTCCTGGAAACAGCCAGGCAGGTTGGGTAGACATGCATCTATATGGCGCACGCACAAGCACCTATTTCTTGGGCATGAGGAATAGCGATTCCTGAGGTGTGGGTTACCCAGTGGCTGGTGCCCAAGACAGCACCCCGCTTTCCAGGATGCCCTGGCCCCAAAGATGAGCCTTCAGCCATGCCTAGAAGAAAAAACAAACCTCTCCTTCTCATACAATTCCTGTTGACCTTCTGCTTATGAACTAGGCTGGCATTTTTTTTTTAATTAAGTGTCAAACTGCGTCTCTTTTCCCTGTACATAGCTGAAGTTATTTTTTGGAAGAGTGACATCTCAAATACTTCTCTCCTCCAACTGCTAGCATAAACCTCAAATTAATATTGTGTAGGTATATTCACATACACAATATATACATTTATAGGTATATGTGTATTGCATACACATATGTATGCATGCATATTATATACATATACAAATAGAAATATATATATATACTGGGACAGCAGAATTCCCGTTTGGAAGAAGGCAGTGATTTGGGAAAATTGGACAGGTTTAAGAGGAACATATGATGGACATTGGAATTTTTAACTTCAGTGTTGTGTTTAGCAATGTTTAGTGCATTGTGACCATGACAATACCTTGCTAGGAGTTTGCTCAACCTTTGGTTCCCAAGGACAACTAGGGAAAAGTTCTTTATTTTTAAAGAACCTACAGAGGAGTTTCCATTCTACACGGGAGCAAATTGTGTAGAACTTTTTTACAAAACAAGTTTTAAATTTGCTTTGAGTTTCCTAATTTGAGTTTCCTCTCTCTTCTCTCTCATCTCCTCTTCCTTTCCACTCCATCCATTTCTGGAAGGTCACAGCCCGTCTGGTCCTCCTATTTCCCTCTCTGGTTTGGGGAAGTGTGCCGGACTGGGGATGATCGCTCTCTGCGGGACTTGATCTGAGTAAATCCAGATCTTTTTTCCAGCTGGGGTTAGTGGACCATATAAAAAACACAGCCAGGGCCTCTAAGATACTAGGAGATAGAGCTGGACACAGACATCCCACCATCCAGGAACCTGGTCGCTCCCAGGTATACTTAACTTGCTGTCTCAGACCTATGACCCCATATGCCACTAAACAACTACTTATTCTGGCTCCCGAGGAAGAGCACAGGCTTCAGTGCCTAGCTGGCGATCTGTCAAGGGGCCTGTGAAGTGGGGGTTTGGAGGTGCAAACATTTGTGGGGGAGCTGGCGGACAAGCCGCCTCTGGTGAGTTAAAGGGTCGGATGGGGTGAATAAGACCTGTGGATTCGAGTTAGGATAGGAGCGGTTCCACCGCTGGCATGTGTTTAGTCTTTTGGGGTGTACCGCTCCAGCTGGCTGAGGAGCACATGGTGAGGTGACTTGGTACAAAAGGCCTTCCTCACATGCCCCAGCGAGTCCCAGTGCCTCCTGTTTGTTCCTCAGAGAAGCCTGTTTTCACGTTCTAAAGTTCATTTACTCTTATCAAATAACTTCCACCTTTGGTGAAAAGGGAACAGTTTCTTCCAGGGAAGGTAAATTTTCTGAGATTTCGGAAGTAGCAAGAGTTACATCTTTTTTCAGTTTTTCTACTTATCCTTTTCATTTTGTCCCATTCAGCTGTACTCCATCAGACATCAGAGGTTTTTCTCCATCTCCAGCAGTCTTCTCTCCTGTTTACAGAAAAACTTTCCCCATTCTATATTTCTTGCAGTTTATCCAGCAAAGAAGCACTAACTCTGTGTGTCCAAGGAAAGACCCAAAGAGGCAGACATCTAAGCAAGCAGCATGTTGGAGTTCAGGGGACCAAAACAATGTGTCTAGGGTAGGTTTGGTGTGCTAGGAAGCTCTGAAAGCAAGGCTCATTCCCAAGATATCCCCCCTTTTCTGTACAAAGACACAGGAGTTAAAGAGTTTTGAGACTTAGATCCTGCTACTGGGGGGAAGTTGTAGAAAAGCAAAATAAAGAAAATGAGAACAGACCAACAAAATGCATTCAGCTATAGAAGACACTCACCACTATTATTTCCAAGGTACATTCATTTTAAATTTCATGCTGACAGTTATCTACAAGTACAGGGATGTTTCCTAAATGGTGCTTAAATAAAACTTTGTAATTAGATTTTTCCTAACATATTTCAGTTTTAAGAAGTACCTCACATGACTTGCTTTCATTTACTCATTTATTCATGTACCTATTGTAGGATGGATACCTCACCATTGTGTGCTTTTTTTTCTTTAGCTGTTGCTGTTTTGTTTTGCTTGTCACAGATTTTTCTCCCCAAAGAACCATAACTTAAATATTCAAGTCATAGAGATTGTCTGTTTTGTGATATCTGGAGTGTCCACTACTGCTTTATAAATCATTGCTACCATTGTCCAGTTAAGAATTTATACAGTGTCTCATGTTTAGTAGGATGGCATGTAATTTGGAATTTTAAAGTGGGTCTCTGCCCTCGACTATCTCTGAGAGAAGCAGCAGTTTCCAGTTGGTCATTTACCTCTTTGAAGGTAGCACTTGATAGTTTCCTGACAATATGCAAACTAAGGCATTGGTCATGGACTATTGCTTAGAGTATATCAGGAAGCATCTGTGTTAGTCTACAGAGAGCCTGAGAGAGCCCAATCAAGGACTATAGAGGATATATTGGTTTTATCTTATTTTTTAGTTCTGCTGCTGTAAGTTAGCAATGAAAGAAAATTTATATTCTTTTTGCTATAAGCCAGCTGCTTCAGGAAAAAAAGTCAAGGTTTTGCCATGGCACTTCATTCTAGTAGGTTCTCTCAAACCCAGTAATAATATTTGTCAGATAGAACAGATGAATATATATGTATTTCACAATTTTCATTTGATGAATATTTTTGTAAATTGTGAATATTTTCTAGTTTCACCATCAATTGTGTGCTCTGGCCATAGATATTAGAATATAATTTGTTTAGTATAGGTGCATCAATTAATACAGTCTTAGCTTCTCTTATACGATAGTATTTGCAGGTTTTAAAGACAGAAAATGGGGTCAAGCTTATGGCATATAAACTCTTATGAGAATGTACCAGGGAAAGATGAACAAGGATGGACAAGACAAGGCAGATGATAAGATCCAATGGTTGCATGGGAATAGCAGATTGCTTTAACTTGTGTGTTTTCCAGTTTATTTTCAATGTAGTGTTTCTGTTTACTTATCCTGGACAACTGAAGAACAAGAAATCAAGTACTTATCAATTCAGGGAGGAAAAGTCTACGACTATGGCTGTATAAAGTCAAAGTACTCACATATAATGCAAAAATTCCATTCACGTTTAGACTAGTAAACCCCTCAATGTTATAAAAATCTGAATTTGGTATCGATTTTGGTATCACGTAGAGTCATTAGGTAGTCTCTCTGGCCTAGCTAAACCAGAATCTATATCTACTATGCAGAAAAACTCAAGTGGAAATTTTGTTACTAATCTGATCAGCAAAGACTGCTATGCTAAACTGAGTATTTCAGACACCGATTTGATAACTTGGCACAGAATACCAATTGCTGTGTGGATGCAAATAGAGAAACTTAAGCTTTAAAATATTTTTCTTTAGGAATTCTTAGAAGAGTCAATGAAAGCTTCTGACTACATGGGATATCTGTGTTATTCTAGATTTTATTTGCCAAGTCTATACTAACTGTATGTATCCATCACCACCAGTCAAATCCTATTATATTAATAACTCTGACAAATATTAAGTAAAAATATCTGGATATGTGTTTTCTAATTGAAGCAAACTGACTTTATAAGGCAAACTATCTTTTTAAGTAAGTGGATTAAACTGAGTGTATAATTAATATGAGAGACCCAAGAAATTCTTGCCTCTTTCAACCAAGATGTCAACCCTGAAATTCCACAGAGAGACTACTTCCTTCCCTTAACCATTGCCCCCATCTTTTGATCCTCTTAAATATTTAGATATGGCACATTAGGAAAGATAACACACCACATACCATCACTAGTACTTTATGTGAATTAATTTATACTGAGCCACTCTTCCCCACCCCGCCATGTCCAAGCAGGATAGGGACGCAATAGCAGGAGAATACCAAAATATGTGTCCCAATATGAGTACACATGGGGTGTCCTGATGCAGGGAAAAAAGGCAATGAGAGGGTCAAAGAACACAATTCAACATAGCAGATAGAAATCAACTATCTATGATTTGAGAGACAAACTTTCCTTCCACAATTTTGCTTAAGTATACTGTCTTGACATCCATAAGGTGACCTATAAATTTCCATCAGATTTGTTACTAATGACGAAGGTCTGGAAAATACTGAAATTAAAAATTGCTGGAGACTGTTTCTTGGAATTTACAAATTGTGATTTAATGCACATGGGTTTAAAATTCTGTGTTGAATTCTCTAATGAGTTACCAAGATTTGGCATTGTAAAATACATGAAACAGATAACCTGTATCTTTGGTGAAGGGGAATAGGAAGTTGAGTTGTGAGGCTTATAGATTCTGCTCCAATATTCTAGAAAACAAGACAGTGTGAAATCATTGCTGACATTACTTTGGAAACTATGATCTTTACAGTGTTCCCAATATTAGGCCATAATTACATTGAAATGAAAAGTTCAATATCAAAGTTGCTTATGTGAAAAATAATCCTTTAATCTAATCTCATCTTTTCTCTTTCTTCCACTTTTTATAGTATGAAATAGAATATTTTTAAGCTTACAATTAAATGTAATTTTCTTAAAATTATTAAATCTTCCATTCTCTTACAGTGCATCATTTTTATACTGGAATTTAAAGAAAAGAAGCTGTGCAGTATATAATGAAATAGTAACACTTGCACATAATATTATTTCATCTTCCCCATATTTAAAATTCATTGCAATGGAAATTGTATGTAACATAAAGCACATATAGAATGCACAGTGTGCTGAGATACAAGTTAAATGTGCCAAAATAGGTCTTTCTTTAAAAATTGTCAAAAAACAATAATTTACTTAGGCAAAACAATATTTTTATTAAGCAAATATTTATAAAGACCTTTTATCTCAGTATCTTAAAAGTTAGTCTGCAAACACATATGCTTATAAGAATTTTATCTTTAATACTGCCATACACCTTTCATTAATATATGATTGATTGGCTTTTAATTTATAATGCCAGGTAGTTTCTTAGCGAACAGAACAAAAAACCTCTAACAGTCTAGAACTATGAGTAAATTGGGAGAAACAACAAATCTCCTTTCTACTCTAACTCCAAAGTGTCTCCTTTGTACTTATCATTCCACACATAAATGACTATGTTCTTCCTTTCTCATTTTTGCTCACACTTGTTTACACAGAATTTACAGTCACATCCCTGGTGTCTGAAATATCTAAAATCATTAGTGATGTTCTCAATAGTGTGCAATAATCCTGATAGGAATAAAGGTTTTATCAGATGTTATAGTCATCTTTAAGAAATATTATTACATCTTTGTAATTTAACTTTGTACTTATATAAATATTTTGCATATTTGCATAACATATGTAATTGTGTTTATATAAGTAACATATTTCTATGTAAAAATATATATATTTTATATACTTATAAAGTAGTGTACTTTACAAAGCATTCTGTGTGCTTTGCGATTTGATTCAATGATAAGGGTTCTAAATGTTTGGGTGTGTATCACAGCCAAACAATTTTTATAGCAAAATTTATTATAGATAACATTTTGAAAACATTTCGAAGGAAAGGATGTATAAAACACTGCTTTCTTAAACAGTTTCTTACTAAAAGCAAAATATAGCTCTCTTTAAACAATTCATAGTTTTTTTAAATTAAAAGCTACAATAAGTGTGTAGCTGCAGTTTTTCTGAGATGTTTTATTTACTCTAAAAGTTCATGACAAAAATAGTTCTTCAGTTATTCCCTTTTCCCCATGAACTTTCTAATCAAGTATTTTGAAGAAACAGAGTTGAGTAAACAAGTAGCAGTATTTGTTACAATTATAGGCACTTAGCGTTCATTGTGCAATGCAAGTGTTCAATAAATTTATTCATATATGTACTTAATATACCTTTTTTGCAAAGTGAAGTGCTGCAGGGAGAGATTGTTATTTCAAGAAAATCTGGTGATTTTTCTAGTCAGCAGAGTTCTACCGATACATCCTGATTAGTGTATGTACTGGGCAAAGTATGCATTGACATGTTGAGAAGTTCTTTTTTCCTTTCTTCCTTCCTTCTTTCCTTCCTTCCTTCCTTCCTTCCTTCCTTCTTTTCCTTCCTTTGTTATTTTCTAGGACAGATCCTTTCTTAGCTCTAATGAACTATATTATTATTAGCAATTTGATATAAGAAGCTAGTGAAAATTATGCTTTCTTCATATTTGTATAAAATTATATATGAGTTTATAATAAGCAGGTCTTCCAATTATATGTAGACTACGAGTTTCATCTTCTTAAAATACTCTATGAATTCTGTTGAACAATTCTCTTGACTCAGCAGATATGGATTTTGCAATTATTATAGGAGTCGGAGACATTGACATGATAACACTGACTATAAAAATATTAAAATAATGTATCTTCTTAATTTTTTTCAAGAAACAATCCAAAATACAAGAACTCTTAAAACATAATCCATTAAACACTTTATTGAGGCAATATGATATATATTTATTTTCTACTCTTAAGTTGTGATGATTGGAGAAGAGGGATTTATTTCATATAAATGAGTGTTCTCTTCTAGGCTTTTGAATGGTTTATATTAGTTTTGAGAACAGACTTATATGGCTTAATTTTAAAGGTAGTAGATTATGGATGAGAATTATTTCATAAAAGTAAAAAATGTCTTTTTAATTCTTTTAGAACTAGAAAATATTCTAATATCAAACATTGTCTACTAAAAGCAACTTATCATGTACAAAAAAGAATTACTGATGAAACAGAATGAAATTTTTAATCTTTGAAACTAATCATTTAAAATGAACATTTGAATGCTAAAAATAAGGATGTCAATATTAAATTCTTTTTTGATTGCAGTAATAAGAAATGGAAAGAATCTATGTAGAAGTTTAATTCTTCACAATGATATATAGAAGAGTCTGTGTTTTATTTTGGGATTTCTGTCATCCTAGGTATTTTGGAAATATTTGCCGTATCTCAGGGAATTGTAGGAATACGAGGAGTTTTCAGCAACAAATTTTTAGCGATGTCAAAAAAAGGAAAGCTCCATGCAAGTGTAAGTAGAACTGCTTTTATTTGCTAACAGTATTATGGAGATTTACATCTGCAAAACAGAATGAAGTGATTTTCCAAACCAGTAAATGAGTTGGACAACTTGCTCAGAGAACTTAATTTTTTTTTTTTGGTAAAATTATATGTGTATATAACCAAGAGAATTGTTTATGTGTCTGCAAGTAATTATTTAAGGATTTTGTTTCCTGGGAAAGATATAGAACCTACAGAAAATAAAGGGTGAGTGTATTTGGAAATAGCCTTTTCAAGGTGGTTGCCATATTTTATATCTTAGAAGGGTCCAAGTACAGATAAGTTTCATTGTGATAGTCCATAGCATTTTAAAATTACGTGTTTATGTGATGGGGTTTGTATTTAATAGATGAAGTTCTTATTTAACTTTACAAGCTACTCATGATGTCAAAAAGTAGGTGTAAGCAGTATAATGTATTTTCACATTAACAAATAAGGAGAGAAGAAACCATTAATGAAAAGATTCTAACCTTCCTTGGGGAAATAGTACTTGATGAAGTTGGGGAACTTTTATCTTGTATTTTTGTCACAGCAAATATAATTACTTCTTAATAACATGAAAACTAATTTTACATTAAAAAATTTCTTTAGGTCACTTATACATTTCATAATCAACTTAAAAATTATTTCTTTGCTTTGTTATAAAAATGGGAAATATCAAAATATTTAAAAGATAATAAAACATGTCTAGTTTAGCTTTGCCATTCCCAGATTTTATTTGTATTAGTATCTGTACATGCTACTTAAAAGTGATGTAGACTTTTTCCGAGGTGTTTCAGGTTTCTTCACATTAAGTAATTTTAAAAAGCAATTCATCTTTAAAGTTAGTCCTTTAATTCTTATTGCCTTTAGTTATTATTAAATGAATGCCCAAAATATCACTTCCAATTTTCAAAGTACATAGACATTTTCAATTAAGAGTGCAATCCATTGGAACTAATTACTTGTAATTTTTACCTATAGAATTTTAAAAATTCAATGAGACTCCCACTTGGATTTATCTGTAAGACTTTTACAGTTTCCTTTTCTGAACATCTAAAAGTAATTTGTTAATAACTTTTGAAGGAAATTGTAGAGTTAGAATAACTTCTGAGGTTATTCGAGGATTAAATGACATAATACATATGAAGTGCTTAAAGCAGTATTTGGTACATTGGGAGTACTCAACAAATATTGCCTACTATTATATGTAATAAATTAAATATATTATAGATATAATAAGGGACCAAAACCTTAGTTTATTGAGATAAATGGAAAACCTTTGTGAAACTCTTTAATCATTTATTACAAGAAATCAAATGATTTACCTGTTACATCTTCTGAGCTGATTATTATACTCTAGCAAACTATAATACAGTATTTATAAAAAAATTACTCAGATTGAGCAATTGAAAATATTTGATTTTTTCATTTATTTCTTTCAAGAGACAAAATTATGAATTACTGTGGAAAAAAGCTGGACACTTGATTTTCTAAAAATAATATTGGAATTTAAAGAAATCTACACAGGTTTGGAATTTAAAGAAATCTACACAGGTTGAAAATAATAATGATTAAGCATATTGGAACAGAATAACATCTCTTCCATCTACTTTCAGGTTGTAAAAGATTGAAACACCTTCAAAATCTAAGCATCATAATAGCTCCTCTTACTGCTTTGTTGGGGATGAAAAATCTTAACTTTGAAAACATTCTGATTTGTTCACTAATACATGCAAAAAAACAGAGGAACTGTGACCAGCTTAAGGATAATTGCCACAGAAAGTGAAGTATTATAAATGGATGCCAATTAGAAAGGTCAAACTGAGAGGTTAGGATACATGATTCCTCTGTCAAATGCAAGGAACAAATTTCTAGAAATTTGACCCAAATGTCTAAGGATGACTGGTGGAAATAAAGCAGATAATGCAAAAACAGCATCTGTTATTCTTTCTCATCTTGGCAGGCTAAAGTTATTTCATGGAATAATGACTTTTAAATTGTACAAAGCAAGTCTTGCTCTTGTCACTCACTGACACTCTTTGATATAAAAGTCATTCTGATGACTTTGAGCTGAATTGTAGATAAAAAAAATTAAGCCCCATGATTATGTGGATTCTTTATAAACCAATTGTCCAAACCCATGTTCTCTGATCTAAGCTTTTATTAACACTTTTTCACTAAATGGAAATCTAATTAAATTATGAAGTGATTTATTTTTAAAGATGTTCAACTTAGAAATAGTATTAATCCTAGCAATTATCCATTTTTTGCCAAGCTGGTTTCTTTTCTGTTTTCAGTTTCTAATTAAACATGTTGAAAATTTGTTCTTATAACTTTAAATGTGATTATTTGATTTTAAAAAATTACACTATTACTCAAAAGGCTAACAACCTATACTTTTAATATTAAATGTATAATTTGGGAGCTAACGTAAACTAACAATTGTGCAGTGGCATTTAAAGAATACCTTCGAAGTCCTTTTTACAAAGTAAATGCGAGCTACAAATGTAAAGTATTCCTATAACTCTGGGGAAAGTAATCTCCCACTACATTAAGAAATCTTCATGGGTAATTGGAGATTTTCAACTTAGATTTGAAGTAACAGAGTATTAACTAGTTGCCAGACAGAGATAATGTATTTTCATAGTTCTGTGAAATCTCTTTCACTCACATTATCTTATTAGATAATGAGGTGAGGAAAGAATCCGAGATGTTAAATTATTTTCCTAAGGTTACACAGTTAACAAAGAACTATATCCTCTTAACATTTTTTTCTCTCTTTAAACAGTAGAAGGCATTGCAGATAAAAGTTGGCTTAAAACAAGATACTATGTTTTGGAATCAATTATATTGTTTTCACCTATTTATAGAAGTAATAAATGCATGATTTAATATTTCCACATAATATGTAAAAAAATGAATACTGTGGCAATATATAATTACTTAAGAGTAATTATAGAACTATAATAGCTAAATAAGTGGGAAACGTTAGATATGTAAAATTTCAAATTTCCTTCTAGTGAATTCTCTCTGTCTCTCAACACTTTTTCTGTACTGGCCTCCCCACAACACTTTCATTTACTCTGTGTCTCTAGTACTTGGTTTTAGAATCTAGAAAGAAGGAGATACGTCTGTAACAGAACTTAACACGTTTATAGTGCTGGTTATTCAGCGCAATGATGCAGTTCTTAGGGGATTCCTCTCAAGGTGAACTTGAAGATCCGTTTTGTTTACAGACATCTTATCTTCCTTTAGTATGTGCTTCACTGTCCATACACACAAAGATGGCACGCTGAAAAATGAAACCCCCAAGCAGTTAGATTTAGGCAACATTGATGCTGATTTCATTTTTGTGCTAAGTTATTTCCGTAAAAGAAGTTGTATTTGAACTACCTAGATACATGAGGCCCCCTGCTCCCATTTGAGTCCCTTGTGTACATGCAACTCTGCTTAAAACCTTTGGTTCACTCTAAATATGTGACCGCCGAATTCCTATCATGCAGCTTTTTTCATCGTTCTTTACAGGAGGAAGGTGTATGGTACTCTCTTTGTTAAAATGTGTCAGGAGCCATGGCAAGTAGGAGGAGGTAATTGCTTCCCAGAGAGCTGTGAGGGTCAGTCAGAGCCATCCTGTGTCCTCTGCCCAGTACTTCAACTCATTCCCATGCAGAGCTACTTCTTCAGACTGTGTGCCCTTCTCTGCCTGCTTCTGTTTTATCCCTATGTTCCCACTCCCTCCTCAGCTTTGGGGTCCCTTAGAGAGTCCTTCTGAATTATTCTGAGGTGGATCCAGATGTAAGAGTGAAAGTCCTTGAGTATGTGGTTGAGGGTGCAGTTAGATTGCCCAATGCCAAACTCTACTTCCCCACTTACTGTGTCCTTTTTTAATCCTTCCATTCTTTGGCTTTTATCAATGATAAAAGGAAAATTACAATAACCATCTATGATGAAGGGCCAGGGTTTTAAATGAGATAATACATACAAAACATTTACAGTAGCACCTGGAAGGTATTCATCACTTAACATTTAAACAGATTTTCCTGAACTTGTTCTCTGGCAGCTGGTGAAGATCCTCCATCTCTTCCTTCTGCTGTTGAGGTCAGACAGCTGTGACCCTTTAGCTATTTAGACCATCCCCGAATCCTACTTATCATTGACCTTTTATTCTTGGGTCCAGACTTCTTGTACATCCAGTAGTCCTTTATCTGCTGAGTTTTCCTTTTTCCAAGGAGCCTAGTTTGAACGCAAAATTCCTTAGCTCACACTCTTAAAGTGGCAAGGATTTCTTACAGTTATAATCTTGTAATTCTTTGGGAGCTGTATTGTCCATCTTTGTGTTATTTCCCTAAAAAAATATAAATCCTGGGAAAAGTAGTTCTCATATATTCTTCATTCTTTTCATAATGTATGCTCCATAGCTTGTTGCCTATTGGAGAAAAACAAGTTAGCTTATTTAAAGATCCAGAGAGAAGCATGTGGTAGAATTATTTTTGTTTCTGGGGTTTTAGGGGATCATGTTTGAAGGAAGCTAACTGTAGAGTTTACGAAACAGGCATGGAATGTGTGCTTGATCAGCCCTAAGAAAGGACTAGAACATCCTCCTTTTCTGGATTCAGAACGTGCCAGCCAGCTGGCTTGCCCAAGAGGAGAGTCTGGCCAGGACTTCTTGTGCTGGGGGCACAGAGAGGACAAAGCTGAGCATGGTTACTGAAAAGGGAAGTGGGGCAATGCTGCTCATCATTATTTGAAAAACAGCCTATTAAGTTCCACTCTGCAGGTCAAGACCATGAGTGACATCACAGCGTTTACAAAGAAACTTCCTTTGCCCTGTAAGAATTTTCCATTTACATCATGAAAAAATCAAATGTCCAGTAATTCAGTCCCCCAAATGTGTTTGGGACTCTGCTCCTGCAGTTTAAGCTCCCTTCCTGTTCCTCAATTTTGCACTAGAGAGGGCCTACTTCATAAAGTTTTGGCTTAACTAACTGC